AAGGAAGGAAGGAAGGAAGGAAGGAAGGAAGGAAGGAAGGAAGGAAGGAAGGAAGGAAAACTCTAAACACCAAAACTTTGAAATTAAAAAAAACCCAGCAATATATCAATTTTCATCTTTTTTTCATTTTGACCAAAGATACGTCATCTCATTTATTCTGTGGCTGACTAATTAAATGAAATACTCAAAGCATACCTGCCATTCATCCAGTAGACTATGTTACCTGACAAGGCATAATCTGAGAACATGTATCTGCAGTTTTTACATCCATGGATTCTACCTTGGCTGGGCGGGGCCGGGGCTCAGTATGCAGTTTAATGGTAGAGTCTGTGGAGATGAGTAAGACCTTTAACTCAAGGCCTGGCACCACAAAATACATATAAAACTTTTCCTTGTAATTCTCTCCTAAACAGTACAGTACGAGAACATTTACTTAGTGTTTCTATGACACTGAGTATTTTATTTCCAGTATGTTATGTAATCCACACTGTGTGTATGTTAAATGCAAACTCTATACCATTTTATAAACATTTGTATGAAGGTTTTTTTGTTTGTTTGTTTTACTTTGTTTTCAGTGGTTTTTGGTTTTGGTTTTGGTTTTTTCGAGACAGGGTTTCTTTTCTCTGTGCAGCCCTGGCTATCCTAGAGTCACTTTTGTAAACCAGGCTGGCCTCTAACTCACAGAGATCCACCTACCTCTGCTTCCCTGAGTGTTGGGATTAAAAGCATGCATCACCATGCCTGGCTTGTTTTTATGCAGCTTTTACCAAGGAAATTCTTTCATTCCTCCCTTGTCATTCATACCAAGTATCACTTTAAGGTTCTCCTAATCACATCACTGAAAGTGATTCCTCAACTCAGTCAGTGTCCACAGAACTTCTGTACACACCAGGCAATTACGCATTCTCTTATCTACACTATAAAAGTATAGACAGCATAACCGCGTCTAGACAGCACTATTGATGAACATTTAAGAAAGAATCACAGAATTTAATGTTAAGGATTGCAGTGTATCATTTGAGTCTCGGGCAGCAAGGCCAAGATCCCTTTTGCTTTTAATTTGGTCATTACTTGTTACACAACTAAATCAAGTGGCACAAAGTTCCTAGGCAGTTTGTACACAATTATCCCAAAGAT